GGGTGTGATTAAATGAGTGCACTGCTTTTGCAACCTTTCAGTGGAAGCGTGTGCAAGCTGACAGTGATTTGCTATATAGATATTTTTGGATCTGATCTTAGCGCTCGCATGAGTGGATGTGGAAAATCAAGGGGAGATATTGCGAATGATCCGAGAAGCTTTCGCTATTTCAGGGATGTCCTCACAAGGTAGTAAGGGTAGTAAAGTTATCGCCTGATTCATCGATGGATGCTACTCCTTTGGATAGCTTGAGGAAAGGCAGAAAATATGTGGAAGATTCTCATTGCAAGTTTCGATCAGTGTTTGCGACGATGATGCCACTTCGGAAGGGATCAGGCCAAGAAAGAGGTTCATGGTAAGTGCAAGTGCATATTTGCATCTGGATGGACTTGGGATTGCAAAGTTTTACAAACTTCTGAATGAGGCCAACATGAGGCAAGGGATGACATAACGTGTTTGTCCCAGTGAGTGGAACAAAAATGTTGCACTGGCTATTTGGTGTTCGATCACTAAAATGCAATGAGAGCATGAAGAATGAGGCAGCGAACAATACCACGAATCAGGCATGCTGAGAAGCAGGACAAGCTTTAAACGTGCCGCGAAAAAAATCCAAAATTACGTTAACCGGTTTTATTCAGAAATATCCCACCGCGCCCAAGCGTGATAAGTTGGAGCGGGAATCATAGCGTCAGAGGTAAATGCAACCGTATTGTTCTCGATGATGAAAGATAATCGGTTACAGTTATCCTGACAAACCGCTTACAACCAGTACAAATTAAGAAAGTTTCGGCTGTCGTTGCAGCTTTTGTTTGGCTTTCCAATCATACTTCATTGAGTAACCCTGTCGAAATGCGATTTGACCACCTAATGTTACGACTGTTGCTGCAAATAGAGTTTGTAACCTAGATGGTGAGCCAAACGACTATTTTTAGACTACAGCGCTGACTTCCAAGAGGTTCCGGAAGTGTTTGCTGCGGTAAGCTAAATTTAGGAGTAGAATACAGAAGAACCTGCCGGCGTCAACTGTGGAGCTTGCGTGCGGGGTTGAAGTCAGAAAGGCGTGTCAGTGAAAGCGCCTTGATCAGACCGACGATGTAACTATTAACAGGCGATGGGTAGAGAGAAAGAATGCCGTATGTGTGATGTATCGTTTTGGTACGAGGCTGGCAATATGAATGAGACATAGAGACCCGAAATAGACAAGGCATGACGTGACTGACGACAGATTGTCAGCCCGCTTGATAAAAGCCATAATCAGATGTAGGTTTAAAGGTAAAAATTTGAATAAAATACCGGGGCAGCTGGATTCGAATCGCAGTCGAAAATACGTCCGTTCACATCATAACCCGGGTGGGGATTCTGAGCTATCGGCATGTAAGTGCGACGGTAGGCAGCCTATTTGCCCAGTGATAAGTTTTCATCTCGTGATATTGATACCACGCGCCACCGCGCGTGGTCTGCCTGGATTTCAGACGAATGATGCTGGTTGGTGGAATGGGTCTGTGCAAAGCAAGCTCAGTCCCCATTCACGACTTGGATTCATTTAAATCCAAAAATTCTATGGAGCTTCATCAGCAACATCCAGATTTAGGGAGCTGCTTCCGCTTTCCTAAATGATCACTTGATATTACACTGAACCGTCAGCAGGGTGGAATTTACTAACCCTCAGTGCTATGAGTGGTTAAAGGAAACAGTATACGGTTGAAGCAGACAATGCAGGGGCTAAGCGTTCGGATTACCGAACTTGTCCGTAGGTCCCATTTCACTCATATGGCAGCACTGTTGACCGTTGCGTATTCTGATCGATTTTTCAATAGTTATGCGAGATGTAGGGGAGCTGGAATCATTCTCCATTAGGGAACCGAAAAGGTGAAATACACTGATTTGCATGCCAGTTTGGAAACTCACCTGGAACTCAGCTTAATGATGGTTTTTATCAAGGGGAAAGATCAATTTTCCCATCACCAAGGCATCTGCCTTGCTCTTTGTCTATATTTGTATCTATGATTTGGTTAGCCGGTTATTGCAACCAACTTAATCAGCTCCGCACCCACAGGCTCATCGCATAAGATTCGGAAGTTTGTAAACCCTCTATAAATAGCTAAACTCCTGGGATATGTTTGTTTAGTGGTGGAACCGCGTCTCTGTCGTCAGATAGTCAATAAAGAATAAACACGTCATAAACCCGCGCTCCGAATCTATTTTTTCGAGGAATTAAGACTACTCGAAATTGTTGACAGAACTCAACACCCGTGACCCCAGCCTACTGCAAATACACTGGCTTAGTGGGTCCCACCGGGACCTCTTACATCCGTCTTGGGATTATTTTCAGTTTAAACCGACTTCACCTAATCCAAAATAATAGCCCCGCAAATCCTCTGCGTTGATGGCCGTTTTTAGACCGGTAGACAACGCAGGGGTTGAAACACAAATTGCCTGATAGCTTGTGGCGCTATTGCGCGTTTGACAGGGTATTGTTAGCGATCTGTCCGGATATCTTCCACACCCTAAGAGGTAGACAGCTAGTTGTATTTTAGCGCCCATCGGGGGACCAGGTAAGATGACTACGTTGCGCGGTTCAGGGCAGGCATAAGTCGTACGTGGTGATGCCCTTTCCAGAAATTCCAACGTTACTGTTCCGGATTCAATCGACCCAGGTCCATTGGCAAGCGCAACAACCACAGACGGCGCTGGAAGGCTCTTATAAATGAGACGACTATTCCTAGTTCTGTAAGTTTTTTGCGAAACCCATTTAAATGGAAGCAAGCAGTTCAGGCATGTGATATAGGCAAGTCCTCAAGGAGATTTCTGCGGTCCCGTAAATATACCGGTGCACTTGTCAACAATCAATGTTCATTAAAGCATATCGAGGTGGGTATTTGTTAGCGTTAATGCTTGTCAAAACTTTGTTTTCTATCGAACGACGGGTTTCCACAGACGATATCGACTCTTTCTTATGTGACGTCCAACAACCATGCAGAACAAACCGTAAAACAGTATCATCCAAAAACAGACAATGCGACAGCCGGTTGGAACGCTCCAAAATGGACACGAAATTTTGTCCGGAAACTTAATGGAAAGAGTCAGTCAATTGATAACTAAAATATAACGCCTGGTTCAGATGTTCAAAATTGTCGAATCAACTTTAATACGACGGTAATAACTTGTCGGTTAGCATCGATGAAGTTGGCCGTACGTGGTTTTACTCATCGTCATAGGATCCTTGCTCACCGCATTGAGGGGGGTGGGTTACAAACCGGAAGCACACATCACTGACCGTCTAATGATGAAGCACGCTCATTGGTCTATAATGGTGACCTCAAGGGACTCGGTACTCTGAAAACTAAATCCAGGGCTAGTCAGTGGGCACCGGGCAAGCAAACTAGTTCCGACCCCGGGAGGCACACCCTAGGTAGATAAAGTCTTTATGCCAACACGAGCCAGAATAAACGCCTAGTTTTTGTCAGAAAACGTTAGACTGCAACCTTTGGTCTGGCTCTTCAACGCCATCATTGAATACGTCTCCAAGCAAGACAACTTTGCCCCATATAGTGGACGGTGGCACAATAACCTCTCTCGAATTTCACTGCAGAAAGTTCCTCCTAAATCCCGTTGCAAGACCATATGAAATTGCTCGGGATAAGGTTAGTTCAGTGATCTTAGTCATATCAACGCTTAGACTGACCGAATTGCTTTCAGTAGATAACTCAGCGTCCTCGCTACTTTGCTATCATGCAAAAAAAAACGGTATACAGATTTTGTGAGACTTGAGAGATAGGTTGACTTTGAGAATGAAAACGAGCGAGGTGTATTGATCATGATCACAACCGGCGTGAACAAAAACAGAGACGACCAGGAATCGAGTGTTTTCTCAACGAATTCCAGCAAAAAGCAAGAGGAAGCTGTGCTGCTTCGAGGGATAGGACTGCAGTCGAACGAAGGCGATATCCTGTCATCGTGTTACTGGAAAGTCTACGCAGTTTCTGCAACCGAGATGAAGCAAGCTGTTCCAACCTAACTCAGTAAAAAAAGACAGTACGGCAGGTTAATCCGTTTGTCCATACGTTGATTTCTTCTTTGCGCACATAATGGTGGGATACGCATCTTTGCGTTCATCAATTGGAGAAGAGCTTGCCAACAAGTCGAATTCATTATGCCTACACTTCTCTCAAAACGAAGGATATCACCATAGCAAGAATAGATATTGACAGCCGCCAGAGCTGACGAAGAGGACTGGTATGCAGAGTGAAGATTCGTCTTAAGATGACGCAGAAAAATGAACCACCTGGTAATCTGTGCAAGTGAGTCTTATTTCACTAAACAAGTGCAAAACGTATGTGAAATATTGGTGAACAGTAAGCTCTTCGGCTTCAACAGGTTTGAATTTGCATCAACACCGAGAAGGATTCACGCCTCACAAGCTGATTTCGGGAGAGTAAGCAAACGATCTCGGCAAGGCTCATTAGACAGTAACTCTTACCCCGGATGACATAGTGAACGTCACATTCCAATTAATAGTGTGATCTTGCATCACGAAGAGACCGGGTCATACAGTGGTGTGACAATTTCCTAACTCCATAACCCACTGAGCTTTACTGGAGAGTGACCGTGCAAAACTCAGTTGGTCAATGGTTTAACGTTTGACCAACAGTCTCCTGGTCCTCCAGGATGAGGGTTGGAAAATGTGGCGACTTGTCATTTAGAAACGGCAATGCGTTGGTATTACCCGTCAAACACCGCTGCCTGATGGTCAGGCTTTTGAGCCAAAGGCTTTGATGAAGGATACCAATAGTCCTGCTGTCTAGCTCTGTGCGCACTGACTGTCCGAGCCCATGTACAACCATGATACCTACAGTTAACAATACTACAGTCTCACATAGGTACGGCAGCGAAGCACCATTGTTGGACATGGTTATACTGTCGATGCACGCTTCCCATGCACGGAGGCAACAAGACTCCTCTTTCAGTGCGGATGAGCTGCCGGGTGAAAAACTCAAACCATGACCAAAGAGTATCAAACGATACAATTTACCCGGTGCTACTACAACGCACTCGTTGGTACAAATGGTGAGTAGGCTTCACGACGAATTGCATCACCATTAAAAACGTCCACTTGAACCCGTAAACCAGGAGACGGGATGAAAAATTAGATAACCGATAACAAAGCATGTAATAGAATACGGAAATTATGTAAGGGGTAGTTGCCAAAGAACACGGCTTCATGTAGTGCAACCCTGTCTATGGATCTATGTTATGTTATTCCACCACGCGCACGACATTGAAAATAATCTCAAAGATGACTTTGGGGAGAAAGAGAACCGAACGAAGGCAACAGAAGCAAAGCTAGTCTGACAACTGGGGGATAGAAAGAGTAAATATACAGCCGCCTCAGCAATAAACGGCGCAGGGTTATTTCCTGACAAAAATGATCCACAAGTAAGTGGGTGAGCAGCATAAAGACCGCGCGTAAACGCGTAGGGTTACGAGGAGGAGGTTGGAGACCCGGCGGCAGTACGAAAGAAACGACACGCGGGGTGAATAAATGGAGGGCCAATCAGAAAATAAAACTTAAATCGAGTGGTGAATGCGCGAGGCAGAGTCGTAACAGCACGGATCTGCAGTTCGTCGAGACAGCAGCACACATGGCCACAGGCACACGGAGGGATCAGTGAAAAACGGGGCGAGTTAGAAACGGTGCCGTCAAACCACTTCATCATCTGGGTCTTCACTTAGAAGGAAGTTTGCAGCTGCATCCTCGTTCTTCTCACAAGCGTAGTAGGCCTATATTCGTATGCACGCAAAACAAAGGATAATAGGGTAAAAGAACGCACAAAAAGTCGAAATCGCATACCGTAGGGTCTATTATGTAATAGTTAGGGTGAATGGCAAATAATTGAATTTTCCCGGTTTCCGCGTCGTACAAGTGATGAAGCTGTGGTGGAACTTTACCTCATCCATTAATGAGTCGAAGAATTCAAATATGCACCCAGACCTTTCGCATCAAGTTTCTTCAGTTTACAGTCAACCAAATTGTACACGCTTGTACTACTAGCTACTAAGTATAATGAAATAATGGTTTGCTCTGCTATGTGGGTCTGAAGTGAAGAATTCACATAAGCACACGGCAGTTTAACAAAATGGTCTGGCCTAGACAACCAGGTTATCAGTGATGATGCCCAAAAATGACGAACCTCGTCGAATATCGGTGCTGCCGGGTAGTCGCATCAAAATCCATCGCCGTGATCGAACACCCGTCAAATTTAGATATCCTGTGTCTATTCGTTGGTGCATTCCTTATCTGAGTTTCGTTTTATCCTGATCTTTGCAAAGGGAGATACCGCAGACTCAGATAATTGTCTCAATGTCGTACGGGTATCTTTTTCGTCGTTTTACATGTGATATATACTTCCAACGGATTTGTGGCTTGGAATGTTGACATGAAGTAGTTTACCTAAATGCTGAATATACCACCGTAGGCCTAATAAAAGAGAATCCCCTTACCGTTGGAAACATAAAGCCAGATAAAGGAGATGCTCTGAGATATACCTAAACCAAAACAGACAAAAACAACCATCATTAGTGTTTCCGATAACTTATTAGGTTGCCAGGTTTATGGAGACCACGTTTTTATGCAAGACCTACTGACACAGCAACAAAGAAAGCATGCCCACTTAAGGGGTCTCCAAAGACGAACATCTCTGGTTCACCATTGCGGGGAAAAATACTGCTTGTGCTTATGCGTTGTGATTATGCATGGGAATTCGGACACATTCACAACCTGTATAAAAGACCATCTACATGGGCAGTTTGGTCTTCCAAATGACATTTCGATAGGGAACAAAAATCCCCTCGTTAACCACAGACTAAGTCATTTGTACAAATCTCATAGGCAAAGGTCCTTCAGCTGGAAAATTTATCACCAAAGAAGCCAGTCAACAGCAAATCACACGACAGCATGTGTGAATACGAGAGAGTGGCTCTATACCATGTCAAAGTGCAACATAATAACACTGATGGTCTACCACTTATGGGAGAATGGCAGTGTTCAACTACAAACCACCGGGCCGTGGGTTAGAATGGGCACAAAAACTACGTCGACGACTGTGCTTCTTTGAATAGAGTGAGAATGAGACCTCAACCGAGAACTCAAAATATTACTACTGCAGACTAACACGTATAAAAAGGTCCAGGTATAATCCTAACCACCACTACAAGTTCGAGGTGTGAGCCACTTCCTCACGATTCCATCACCTAACTCAGGATGGGTTACATCAATAAGCTCCGGTGAAGGCTAATTCAGATAACCTTCTTCCTTAGCTTGGGTGAGCAGGATACTGCCTAACCGAATTAATGAGACACTATTGTTCTCTCATAGAAACAACGATGCTCATCGTGAGCTGCGATTCAGTGTATGGAAGTCTCCCGATATCAATTTCAGTCCACCGTCTTCATAGTACATCTAGATCTCATCCTTCAAGCAACCACGGTGCATACAATTTTATCCGCTTTCTCACATAAGTAGATAACAAGTAAATCAGGTTTTGCGTTGAACTTGGGCTACAGTGCTTCTTCCAAACAGAAACCAGCCTATTAATTCTGAAAGATTTTGTAGGCCTTGGAAAATTCAGCAGATGGGCTACAATTCTGAAAATATAATTCACGCAGACCCCATGGTTACCAAGATAACTGATCGTATCACTATTACCCCCTGTTTCGATAAATCTTCCACTTTATTATACGATACCTGTATGTAGCTTCGAGCAAGTCGCTAAGCTTGAGCACGTCAAAATATGTGCACTATCTGGAACACTAAGTATCGAGACTATTGTTTAAACTTAAATTGGTTCAACTCATCTATGAAACATCAGATTCAGTCATGGTTTTAAGTTGATCCAAATGACGAGCTGTCATCAATGAACGAAACAGTTAACGACACTCTACTGCGATCCAATTCTCCAGTTATTTAACAGTCACTGAATAAGCATCAAACTCGAGACAACTGAGTGTTTAAGGCGCAAACTATCGATATGGAGACCCTGGTAAGACCCCGATATTTCGACCATTGATATCTAGGCTTGACCAACCTGACGGTACCATATCTCTCGTGCTTCCTTCGGGTGTGAAGCAGCCAGGCACCCGAAGGTTGCTACAGCTGAACGATTATCATTATTATTTTAAGGACACACCGAGTCAAATTAACATGAGAGTAAATCTAGACATGAGCTGTGATTCATCCATAAGTAATATATTACCAACTGGTGTCAGCTCAAACCGGCAACGCCTGGAGAATAAAATGTTACGGACAAAAAATATCATGTCGTGCAGTCCTTCAACACAAGTAGATTGTACAAAACATCGATGACACTAATATCATAGCAATTTGGCACCGAATCGATGTGCTCAGAAACACTGAACAGCAGGTATGCACAGCATCAGGCCTGTGCATCTTGGTGTTCACGGGTCATCATCATCATCGTCATCGACACCATGACATCAGTGTTCAACACTGATGCTTCACTGTTCAAGGATGAGCGAAATAAACGAACCAAACACCGTAAATAGATGGAAAACCCTAAATTAAACATATTCCTGAAACAATCTTTGGCCACCGAGAGGATGAGTAACACCCACAGGAGACCGAACCATATATATATATATATATATAT